AATCGAGGCTCGCGTGTAATTCGAATCGAACGTAATATTATCTTTCGGCGATGATAATGATCCAAAAATGGAAAGAATTTTTCTCCTTCTTTTTAATCTGGTCAAAATGCGACCAGATTGTATATGGCCAGGAGCGACAAAGGTAAATTCAACCTGGCCCGAAGAAAGAAGATTGGATACGATAAAGGTAAGTGGTCAACACTGACCACTATGATGGAATAATGTAACATATAAAATAGTTTTAATATATCTCTTTATTTGTCCCAAAGGGCTATTTTCTTTTTTCTTTATATTTTCTCGCAAATACGTGCGAGATTGGAAAAACTACAATTAAATCTCAATCGCGCGTGTGTTAAAGCCCCCATGCACAATTCTCCACATTTCCAACATCTCAAGTGATCGTGTCACTTTGAGACCATATCCCGTTCAGATATCCCGCTGGATTAACCAGTAAATTAGACCCCTTATAAATCGTGTCGCGGTCTTAATTAAAAAACTTTGTATAATAAATTATAACACGGGTAGGTAGGAAAATGGATAGCTATAGGACTATAGATTGGAATATCGGAAGATATATAGATATACGGGTAGGTAGGTAGGGGGGGATTCGGGTAGGCAGGGACAAGGGGATATAATTCAATAGAAAAAATTGTGGATAAAATAAATACATTATCCTTAATATAATTATAATAAATATAATTGTTTATTATTATTACATTTTTAATAATAACAACTTAAATATATATTAAATAATATCTACTAATTTTTATATTAAATAATTTTTATGTTAAAAATTATTTAAAATATTAAAAAGTATTTTATATTAAATACCAATTTAAATTTTAAATAATACTAATTTTTACAGATAATTGTATTACATCGTATTTTTTGTAAATATATCAATATATGTTGTAATTATTATGTATATGTTACAGGAAAGTCCCCTATTATGAGATAGGCAACCTAATATGAGATGGCGGAGTTTTTTCATGGTGGGATCAACAGATGGGGCCTATATAGGGCCTTTTAGCTTAACATATCTCATATTAGGATCCTGTATCATAATAGGGGACTTTCCTCTATATATGTATTATGTATATATTGTATATACATAGATTACATATATCAAAAGTGGCTTGGCCTCGTTTCATTTTTCAGCTTGATCATTGCCATGCTTTATTGATTCGAAGCTTTGTCTATTTTTTTCGCGTATTGGTCATTTTCTTTGCGTTTCGTAAAATTATAGTATAGTATAACAATAGACATTCTCCTTGATTAAATAATATAAGCAATAAAGTTATCAACGATTTTTTTGGTCGTGATTGCTCGCGTAAATTAAAATTTAAAAATTATCTTTGAAAAAATAAATATTTGAATATTAGATGGGATACTATTTTATTGTATGATATAAGCA